ATAACTTCCGTTTCATTTACTTCCCTTCTATCAATTGATGCCGATTCAGTTACGAGAATCATGGAATCCTCTAAAATTTCGTGATTGTGCTAGGTTCCCAAATAGTGGCCAAGAAACCCGGGATGCGCAACTGCTTGGATTGTGGGCTGGCCGGGGATGGGACCGACTCTACAACACCGGTCATTTTTCCTGCAACTATGATCTTACCAATGGTATTAGCTGCTGAGCTCTCTTCACTATCAGTGGTTGAAGCCTTGTGATCTTAATCTTCTATCAGAATTAATAGGGGACGCCGACTGCTCTATTTGGGGTGAAATAAGAGTTACCTTTCCCCGAGCTTTGAACACGTAAATCAGGTTCAAAATGGATACGGTGAAGTGTCACCAACTCAGATTTCTTCAGCATCAATAGATTGAATAAGGTCTGCCCTTAAAGAACAGGTATCCCAATCATGATCTAAATGGCCACAAAAATAGCAGAAACGCGGAAGCTTCTCATAAGTGACTCCGATGTCTATAGTGTCTTCGTCGAGGAGTTCAAGAGGCATTGTGTCTTCATCGAAGGCTATAGGAAAAGGTACACCAACCTTGGTTGCCAAAGAGCCCGCCATTGGAGCAGTCAGATAATCAACCGGTAGTCCAGAAAGATGTACCCAAAAGTCTGCACGATCCAATAAATATTTAGCAGGTGCCAGATTTGGCTCACAACGCTGTAAAACAATAAGATCATTATTGAAACACCAAGGGCTGCGTTGCAGAATAGATTCAACATCTGCAGTGGAGAAACACTTCACCGAGAACATATTTTTGCCGAAATCACCGATTGATTTGACTTTGTGTTTCCAAATCTTCATAATATTCTCTTTCAACCCAGCAAAGTTGATTGTCCTATCTGTAAGGACTTTGACAATAATATTTTTCTGCCATTCATTCAAGAACATCAGAAACCTTGGATCGTATAGAGGAAACAGAACCAAGGTTTAAAGTTTTGACAAATTTTTCAACAACCGAAGAATGGGTGATTTGATTCGCCATGATCAAATAAGAAGAAGAAAGGGCGGAGAAAAGAGTCAAGGGAGATGACGAAATGATGGGGGTAGGGAAGCAGACACGGAGAAAAAACATACGGAAAAGCCTAAGGGAACTAGGTTATTAAGCTTATTTATATTAATAATGCTTTTTTTTTTTTAAATTTTTGCCCATAGGATAATGTAGCATTAGGTAAAGCTGACTTTTGATTTCTGAAAAACAAAACAATAACTGAGTGTGACTCTAGAGTCTGAATGGCCAAATTCTGCTTCTACCTTTGTTTTTTCAAGAGAGAGAGTCCATATTATGCCAAACACTCGTAGAGGTGTAAATCAGGCCGTGTCGCTCGTGGCCCAGCATGACTTTGAACCGGCCCGATCCGATGGTCTGTGTTGTGCTGGACCTAAGGTTTTAGGTCCATGGGCTGTGCCACCTGCGGCTTGCATGTTGGCACGGTCTGTGACACAACCCATATATACTATTTAAACATATATATTATATAAATTATAATTATATAATATATTAATAAAATAAACAATTATTTTCAATTTTATTATACTAATTTATTTAATTTTCGTATATATAAGCAATTGTATATATCAAAATTCATATAAAATTAAAATTTTAAGTTTTTAAAATTTTTTTTAAATAAATAGGTAAAAATAGCTTTGACCCGATTTACGGCCCAGCTTGGACCAAGGCTTAGCCCATGGGCCAGCCCAGTCCACGGCATGGCACAGGCCCACATGGGCTTGGACTATGAACCATGCCGGAACAACCCCCAAATTATCTCAAGGGAAAGCAACACGAACCAAAACAACTCACGAGCCAGCATGGCATAGCCCGCACTTTGCACGAACTGCCCTCGAGCCAGCACCTTTTTACACCTCTATACAGTCGTGATGATGTGTAACCACAGATGGATATTATTAGTTTCACATTCTAATTTCCAAGGCACTATAATACTTAGACCAGATAGTGCCGTCCTCTAATCCTCTTACCTAGGGTGCAAGTTAGGCCGGGTTACATCAATCCTAACCCAGTCCGATTTGTTGAATTCCGGCCCCAATTCAAAACGAAATCTACTGCCACGTTGTTTTATGGGGAACTTGATAAAACACCATATCACTTATTTATAATCCAAATTGATTCGACTCTGTTAGATATGTTTCGATTCGGATACGAATTTAAACAAATCAAATTATATCCGATTCGATCCGATCTCTTTGCAGCCTTAAACAATATAGGACTGTCAATGGGTCAGTTCTGCCCAACTACCCAAACTGAACCAAACCAATGGTTCTGGTTCAATGATTTTATCACAATTAATAATTGGGCTGATTTTGGTTCTTGTCTGTCTTGAAACGATTCTGACCAAAAACTGATTATTTTATTAAATATATAAGATTTTCTTACTTTCTTATAATTTTTGTCATGCTTTATGTTTGAAATTAGAGATTTGATAGATAATATTAGTTAAAAATATTTAGTTTATTAACATATAAATAATTTAATATTTTAGTATCATTTTTATTAAGGTCATATTATCAAAATTTTAATTTTAAGTTATTATTTAAATAATTAATTAATTATAATTTTCAGTATAATAAAGTCTAGACCTGATAGACATATTTTAGTCCCGATTGATAACTAATTTGAGACTAAGATCACCCTATCATGACCTAGACCCAACTCATTGACAGCCCTAAACAATAAATAAAAGAGATGTTCCCAGCTATAAGGTGTTGTCCACAACGTTATGACTTATGATGTGAATTTTGATGATTGGTTATTACAAAAAAGACACAAAACTTTATTCTTTTTGTTCATAATTGTAAAAAAGTCAATGGCAATAATGTTATTTAACATTCCCATTTAATGTTAGTTAGGGAAAATGCACAAAAATCCCTTTTTTTGATTAATAATTGAAAAACAATCCATGGTAATAATTGAAACCTCTCTTGAAGTTTTTCATTGTTGCCCAAACCTCCCTTGAAGTTTGGTAATTGCAATCACGACTCGTAAACTTCTTGACACTATTGCAAGTAGACCCCCTTTATAAAATCCTCTAACAAGATGCATGAAAATGTCCAAAATGCCCATGTAAATATTATGAACAACAAAAAAAGAGAGTTCAAAGTTGCAATTTACCTTTGAGCAATTGATATGAAGGGAAAATTTGGAAAATACATCAATTAAAAAAAAAGATTAAAAGGGATTGTGGTAGTGGTTACTATGAAAAATTGGAAAATAAACATTTTGGTCAGGAGTAACTACATAGGTATTTTGGACATTTTTATTCTTTGTGTTAGAAGATTCTAATAAAGGATCTACTTGCAATTATATCAAAAAGTTCATGGCAAGTGATTGCATTTACCAAACTTTGGGGGGGGGTCAGGAATGATAAAAAATTAAATGGAGGTTTTAGCAATTTACCTTTTCATTTATTTAAATTAAAAAAAAAAACTGAAAGTACATCTTATGTTCTCAATAGCCAATGTTAAGTCACATTAACCAGCACGAAGAGATTTCCAACTTGCAAATGGATGAGCAATTTATTCTTTAAACTATTTTCTTGATTTTTTTTAAATATTTTTAACCTATTTTCATTGGTACAATTCTTGATCATTAAGAACAGATGATTTTATCTTCTTTATTCCCACCATATAGTGGGTTAATTTTTCATTTCCATTACCTTAAAGCCCACATCATTGGATGGCAAGATATCTGCATGTGTAAGTAATATTTTTTATAGTAGTTCATTGTAAGGTTTCTAGTGGTTGAAGGAGTTGAAGTTGGATTTATCATATAGAAGTTAATTCTTGCAAAGGAACGAGAATTAAAAAAAAAATCTAACTAATTGATAAAATTTATTAATTTTATTAATGAACCATAATAAGAAAAATAAAAATTTATTAATGATAAATAAGAATAACAAGGATTTTATTAATTCTTGTTACTATTACAAGAATTTTATTTGGACATACCTTTATATTAAAATCAATGTGATAAATAAGAATAATTTTTATAGATGTAGAAATATGAAAAAAAATTGCAAAATATATTATATCACAAAATTTATCATGTGCAAAGTACATATATATATATATATAGTGAATACTCACCTTGATTTTAGTACAGGTCATAAAAGTTAAATGTGATTAGATTTACCATTTCTCCGAAAACAATTATATTTACCATAACAAAGGCTTCAGCCTAGGCCCAAGACCAACCCACACCCCAGCTCATATTACAAGCCTGAGACCTGCCCACACGAGCTCAGCCCACACTTTCCAAGCCTAATGAAAATTTTTAATTGCATAAAAATTTTAAATTAAATAATATATATTAGTGAAAAAATGCACTGCACAAGCCCAACCTGGGCCTCATTGCTCGATGAAAATGAAGATCATTCCTACAAGGCTTTGCTTAGAAAGACAAATCTAGTAGTACTTGAGTTAAACTCATGTATTAGCACATGCATTGACACGTGAAAACTCATAAATATTTATATATTAAGCTTTTTTATATTTTATATAAATTATCAGGCTTCAAATGTTGGGTCCAAGACTCGTCCAAAAATTTCCACCTTACTATGGGCCCAGGCCAGGTTTTGTACACAAAAACCTGGGCTTGGGCTGGAGGACTTCTGGACCGGACCAAGAATGATCACCTATTGGTAGACAAAATAAATTCTAACCGAAGACGACTTTATCCATGGTGGAGAAAAAGCTCTCGACTACATGGAGAATTGGCCAAAAAAAAGAAAAGAATCACATTGAAGAATTCGAAATCCAGAGTTCCAGTTACCAAAAGCTCTCTCTCTCTTGCGAGCGCGCTCTTATTTACTTCCAATTTACTTACCTCTTCCCTACTTTGTTGATCCACTATACGATCTTGTATCAAGTTTAGTTTGCTTTACACATCATGAACAATTTAGTAGAGATAATCAGATTTACTTGGCTGGAGGCAAAAGACCTAAACCCTTTCAAATCTAGGATTATGTATCTTGTTACATTTCTGCACCAATTTCCAATCAAAAAGTGCATAAGACCCTTTCCGGAACAAATGCCAACTAAAGAAAAAAAAATATTACAGAATCGATTATATTTATCATCTTGATCCAAAAAAAACAAAATCCCGTTGCATTCCGTTCAGCAAATATTAAATGATTGCACAAAAGGACAAAAAGGCACTTCATAAGGGCAGAAACTCACTATACAGAAGTTATGGTCTTACAATTAACCCAGCAGCTGTCAGCATGTAGAATGTTAAGTAAACAGAGTCCCTCGTATTTCTTCATAAAGACCATCTCAAGCTCTTTAGCTTATGAAGAATTACCACACCTTCTCAGGTCTCTTGTGAAAAAGGGATGTCTTAACGCTTCCCTTGCTTTCATTCTCTCTGCCGGGTCATAACGGAGAAGACCTTGCAAGAGGTCAATTAGATCTCCTGCAGAGTGATCCACGTGCTGCATTACCAGGTTCTACGACACCAAAGAAAAAAAATAAAAATTGAATGTACAAGATGACAAAAAATGAAGATGCCACAGGAAACTAGATTTTGAGGTGGTTATTAAAGTGAACAATAAAATGAAATTCACAAGCAGAAAACAAGGTTAGTTGGTTGCTGTCTCAATTCGAACTGAAGTCAGAAGATTTATAAGCTCAACAAAATTTACATGGCTAATAAACAAAATTTTACTAAATAAAAAAGTTGAAAATGAATGGTACTTGCTAGAAGAGATCAGAAAACCCCATTTTTTTTCAAGTTGTCACAAGTATCGATATAAAAGCCTGACCACATCTTAGTAGCTTTTGCATAGCATTCTAGTCTGGATCCTCTCAACTCAACGGTTTTTGGGAAAATCTGGGACCAGGTGAATAAAAGGGATATTTGACTGATTCCCAGGTCGAACGGTTTCACCGCGACAGTTTTAAAATACTGGTACATTATTTATATGCTTAGAAAGGTGTAGCCTTGGCTAGTTGCCTCGGATGTTAGATTTACATCTCCCCCCCCCCCCTAAAAGTAAAAATTGGTGGTCATGGAAGCTATTTACAAGTTTGACTATGTTCGGGTTTCAAGTTTGACTGAAGTCACTGAACCACTTATGTTGATGAAATCAGTCAAACCAACTTGAAAGTTGAAATATCTAAGGATTTATCTTTGAGCTAATCACATCAAGAGTGGTCAAACCATTTAAATTTGGATTGGTCCGGTTGGACTAACTGAATTGGTCCATATCGGGTTGTGCAATGATTCGGGAATGAGTTGGCCAATCTGAACTGGGTCAAGTTGGGCAGTCCAAACCGAACCAATCTATATTGGATTGTACAGGGTTTTGGACGGAGCCGACTGGTCCGAATCGAGTCAACATAATCATTCCATGCTTACCGGAACTGGGTCGTGTATTCAAACTGACCCGGATTAGACTGTTTGGACAGGACCAGCAAACCAAAGAGTCGAACCAAGGTGATCAGGTTTGTTCATATTTGAACCAGGCTGAACTGAGCAGCAGCTTCAGTCTGGACTCGGGTCAAGGTTGATTAGGATTTATTTCAATTTGGGTGAACTACATTAATTCAAGTCAAAACTAATTTTAGTTAATAATTAATATAAAATTAATACATTAATTATACATTATTTCACTCAAATGAAAAAAATTAAAAAAAATTGACTAAGACACTCACATTTATACCATTAGTGGTTACCCAATGGTTATGCATAACCCAACCCATCTAAATTGGCCCAATGAATGATCAACCCATTTCCAACCTGCAAGTAAATGAATGGATTGGGTGGTTCAACGAGTTACGTGAGATATTGCCACCCGTACCTTGTAGCACCTTGTGTTGCCAACCAATCTGCCAAACTGTTGGCAACCTGAGGGATCCATTCCACCCTTGTCCTTATCTACCGATTCTGTCCCATTAAGTTTCAGATTTCTCATTATATTCCTGTATTGCCAAGTGAATTCCTGAATGCTCCCCAAGCATCTTGTGATGTTCACTAACTTTGCTCTTCTTTTCTATGTCCCACCAAAAGCTGTCGAGATTTCTGCTTTTGATGAGTCACCCACCGGCCCAAGTAGGGGTGCGCATTATTCGGTTAAAATCAAAAATTGCAGTTTCGTTTCGGTTTAGAAATTCAGTTAACTGAAAAAACCGAATTAACTGAACTTTATTGTCTATAATATAATAAAATATATGATATTATATTATACTATGTATTAGAATATATAATTTTTATATACATTGTATAATATATATTTTTAGTATATTATATATATTAAAATATATATAGTGTTGAAATTCAGTTTTAACTGAAATAACTAAAAACCGAACCAAAAATTTTGGTTTCATTTATTTCGGTTTTGATTCAGTTTTTCATTTAAAATTTTAATTTATTCGATTCGATTTTTTTAACCAAATAAACCGTTTGCTCACCCCTACCAGGAGTACGATTAAGTTGCCTTCATTGCTTCCAATCACACCTCCAATTCTAGGGGTGGCAATCTCTCACCCAACCCGTTGAGCCCACCCAATCCGCCCATTTACTTGGCAGGTTGGGAATGGATTGATCACCCATTGGGTGAATCTAAATGGGTTTGGTCAGGTTGGGTTGGGTGATGAATAACCATTGTGTTAACCACTAATGATACACATGATTTACTTAATCATTTTTTCTTTAATTTTCTTCATTTGAGTGAAACAATTTAAAAGTAATGCATTAATTTTCTATTTATTATTAACTAAAAGTAGTTTTGACTCGAATCAACTTAGTTCACCCAAATCAACTCGACCCAAGTGGTTTGGTCAAAACTCAAAACCCAAGCATAATGAAATAACTTCAAGTGGTTAATTGCTTTTTATTCTCCTTGTAAAAATAATATGGATGTAATGTGATTTAAACCTTCACCACTTAAGTAAACAATAGCTCTATGACCACCAAGCTACAACTAACTTATTTGTGGAAGTGAGTGAGTTTTTACTTTCAAGTACAAAAATATAAGATTAATGGGTTTGGACAGGTTGGGTTGGGTCAAGGCGGGTTTGGGTTGAACCCAACCCATTTAATTTTATATAACTAGGTTGTTAATGGGTTGGTAGGTTAGATGGATTGGGTTTAGGGGTCGATTCGAGCCAAACCAAGCCGAATAGTACGAGGCTCGAGCTTGGCTCGCAAAGGTAGTACAAGGTTCAAGCTCGACTTGAGAAAAAAAATGTTTTACAAAAATAAAAATATACATATAAATATTTTTTATTTGATATTTAAAAAAATAAGAATTATAATAATTAGCTATTATTATATATAAAAATAAAAAATATTATATCTATAATATTTTTATTATATATATTATTTTTTATAATAATAATAATAATAATAATAATATTTATTATTATTATTATTATTATTATTATTATTATTATTATATATGTAGCTATTCGAGCTTGGCTCGAAACTCAGTTGAAACCGAGCCAAGTCGAGCTCGAGTAGCTCTCAGCTCGTGGCCATCCCCAATTGGGTTGAAGCTCAACCCACCCAAACCAATTCCTGATATCCCTGGGTTACCAAGGCTTCAGCCATCAAAATTGAGCTTTGACAAAAGGTTCCGGAGGAGGTCTCCAAACAGCAAGTAAAGACTTCTTTGCAGTGGAAGAATCAGCCACTGATCTCCAATTTCGACAAATATCATATATGGAGGCGGCTAAGATATTCAATGTTTCTACCTAATGATCAAAATCTCAGTAACCATACCAAATAATCCAAATTATATGAGATTTATAGAGCAAGATTTTAGAATACCATCGAAACTGCCCCTTGATAGAAGATATTGAGGCAGAATTTTGGAAGCAACAAGTATATCCAATCTTACCAGTTTAGGGTATAATAGTTGTCCTTTCAGCAGGCGTATGAAAAAGCCTTGAACTGAATTGTGTTTGCACTTGGTGAAGAACACTTCAACTAATATATACTAAAGTTTAGATGGAACTCAAAATAAAGAAGCAGAAATGAAAACATATTAGATCAGCTACAAAAATCTTGTTCACCATTTCAACTCTATCAAGGGGCCATATTTCACCATTAAATTATGAATCCTTGATATCTTTCTTCACTACCCTGAGGCCCAAGCCAATGTCCTTTTTAGCATTCCCCCAACTCATTCTGAACCCTCAACTTGCATCAGATCTTGCTTTTACCAGTACAAGTTCAACGCAAATGCTCAAAACCATCCTAGTCTATTTTCCCTCATTTTGTCACACATATTAAAGCTCTCCTAGATTCCCATAAATGAATCCATTTTTAAATCTATGCTTTGTAGCCTTTCAGTCTTTGTCATTGATCTATCTTTAACATTTTTATCTCCAATACACATTATGGATGTGATGCTTTTTTAGTGTAATCTGAACGGTAGAACCAATCATACAACACTACAAATGCGCCTTGACACTTCATTCACCCCATTCCAATTGTGTGACCAACATTCTCTGCAATCTGCCTCCTCACGTCCCTATGGATAATCAAACCATAATAGAAATGGTCACTCAAGGCAACTCCTGGTCGCCAATCTTAATTGGATCCTCAATTCTACTATTATCCTTGTTGAATTTGCAGTTTATAATTTTTTCCTTCTTCCCTTTATCTAAAAAACCTCTGATTCTATATTAATTGTGCACTGAGTCCACTTTACTCATCAATCGATACAGATACTATGTTGCCAGGTTGTCAGCAGACACACTACCTCATGCAAATGAGTCAACTTATCCAATAAATTATGAATAGGTTAATTGCTTAAACTTGATGTAAACACACTATACAGGAAATCCATCTTCCAATATTCTCAAACTAATAGCTACATACCAATGTATTAACACATGGAGGCATGATGTGAGGCATTCCACTACCTGGAGGTGTGAGGTGTAGTTCAGAACGAAAGAGGAATATTTGTCTACATTCTCTAAGTCCTCTTCTGCATGCTCAAAAGTTTGGTTGAAAATGACCAAATACAATAATCAATTTTCTTTAACTAAAAGTCCTAAACTTCATTTGTAAAACTCAAAACTCACCCAACAGCCATGACCAAAATTACAAAACACCCACTAGGAAGAAGATGAACTAAAAAACATTAATTATCCTACAATTGATTTCACATAAAGCAGAAATATATATGTACTACATTTTATTCGAATAAAAACTTGCCTTCATTCACAGCGGATAATGTAGAGACAGGGATAGTGAGAGCTAAAGCTGTAATTTTACCTCTTATTGTACCATTAATTCTTTATTCTTTTGGTTTGTACATTACTAATTGCACTACAAGGACAGAAGTGCCCTTTTACCTTTCATTAATATAAATATTACTTTCTTGGTGTGTCCTTTTACCTTACTGCACTGTCATTAGACCTGGCAAAAAGTTGACCCAACCCAACCCGAAAAAACAGTGTTAGGGTCTAATATTTGGCAAACTGAATGTGAGAATGACCCAACCTGACCCAGTAAAAACTGGGTTGGGCTGGGCTGGGTCATGGGTCAACCCGCTGATCCGATTGTCAAGTCTAATTGGGACTATTTATGCATTGTTAGAAGTTTCCACTCTTCAATTTTTTCTATTTAGTCTTTACTCTTTATTGTTTACTCTTTAAATTGTTAAATGTTCAAGTTTTTTTTATTTTATATTTGGAATTTTAAGGTTAATTCCTTTAGTTTTGACATTTTTCATATAGTTTTTCTTTATTTTTTTTAATTCAGTTATTTTTTGGGATGACCCGAATTGACACATGGGTCAACCCTAACCCGGACATTTAGGGTTAGGGTCGAGCATTTTGATAACCCAACCCGAAATCAACCCAAAGTGTCTTGACCCAACCCAAACCCGACCCACCCAACCCAATTGCCAGGTCTAACTGTCATAGTATCACAGGTTCACAGCAGGTTCGATTCTCTTGGTTTTGATTTCAGTTTTTATTCTCCAATTTTCAGCATCAGATTGGGCCTCTCTTTTGGCATTTTTTTGGACTGGTATATGTTTCTTTCTGGACTGTTCTGATCAAGATAAGAAATCCTATTTTTCCTGGACTGGGACGCAGTCATGTTAGTATATTGGGATTTTCTCTCAAGTAGCTAATCAGTTTGCTCTAAAATTCTAGATCTGGTGTCGCCCTAGGCTGTTCCTTCAGCCCCAAAAATTTGGTGAAGATTGGATCTGATTTGCTAGGGTTTTGATCCCCTATCTTGTTTGATTCATCTGTGAACCTTCCTTTTTTTTACTGTGAACAGAATTTCTACTGGTGTTCAGCCTGTTAGAGGTTGTTTTCCCATTCTTATTTCTTACAACGGCATCCAAACAGGGTGGTGTGCTTCCTATCAAGTTTGATGGAACAACCTATGCATTATGGCAGTTCCATTTTCAGTTCTATGTTGAGGGAAAGGGGTTGTGGGGCTACATCGGTGGAACCACTACCATACCTGAAGCAACTGATGCAAAAGGGCTGCAGACTTGGAAGATTAATAATGCTCAGATTGCATCCTGGATCCTTAGCTCAGTCACTACAGATGTTGCTTTCTCTATGAGGGGTCTCCAAGGAGATGCATGAATACCTGGAAAAGGTTTATCAACAGTCTAACATCTCACGACAATATCAGATTAAAACTGAGATATTTTTCTACAGTCAGGGTAAGAAGTAAAATTACAGCTTTAGCCCTCACTATCCCTGTCTCTACAAATAAGTGCTAGATGTATTTATTCAAAGAAATATTGATGAGTAAAGCAGCAACTTCTCAGACCACCTAGTAAACTCTCAAGCATCATGTGCTTCTCAAGGTAATAACAATAACAACATTTCTGACAAAATCTAGAGAAAAATCACAGCAACTCCTAGTTACATTCCTCAATCTCCTCTCAGTTTTCCTAACTGGAACTATGAAGCCAAAGAATTTAGAGATTCGTTACAGAATAAAAGGTTATAAACCATCACCAGAGCATATTGGAGTTTCTTACAATACAGAAGCAGAAAAAAGTGGTAAAACAATTACCTGGAGGCGGGGCAATTTCCAAACTGCCCTCATGCTGTCCCTTGAAGTTGCACCTTCAGGCCAATCCAATCGTGCACCCCTCCTGAAATATTTCTCAGCATGGTGGCTGCCAAAATGAATGTCAAAGAAGTAAGACACAAAATTGAGAAGGTAAAACATACAAAAAATCACACTTACTTGGCTCTGGCCACCATATGGTGAGGCAGTGGGCCCAACACTCTCTCCATCATAGCAAGATGTTCTAGATTTTCATGGGTTTGGAATAGAGCCTCTCCCTATACATTCAACAAAGAACATAAGAACAAGATATTCATACCTTAGATTCATAGACTCAATTGGAATTGTCAAATTACCACAGAAAAAACAATTACTTATTGATAAATACACTGTTACCAAGGTTTCAACTAGCCAATGACTAGTTAGATGATGGCCATACTGATTGAATCATCAACCACTTAGCTGATGGCCATACTGATGGCCATCTCAGCATACACATTTCTGCCACTCATTCATGTTGGTTCTTGACTGCCCAAGCCCAACTAGGGCTGCAAGTTGGGCCGGGTTAGATCAGGTTGAGGCCAACCCTAGCCCAACCCTAAGTTCTAATCCCCAACCCGAAGTCAACTTCGGGTTGGGCTGTGCTCAGGTTGAGCCCAACCCAACCTGGGCTGTGCTCAGGTTGCATATCAGTCTTTATTAACTTCAACATTGCATCAGTATATCAAAATTAGGCATATTTTTTTGTACATAACATGTAACGTGAAGTGCTGAATGTATTATGCAAGCTACACCATAATGAATGAAGTATGTGAATTTCAAACATTTTCCAATCAACAGTTTTTTTAATTGTTTTCTCCAATTTACCGTTTAGGAAGTGTTACCCAGTATAGACATCTAAATACAAACAGTTAAATACAAACTAAAGAGAGGCAACAGTTTTTCCTTCTTGACAAATAAATGACAACTAATTAAACTTTTTAAATTGATTGCAAATATATAAACTCGATAAAGAAAATGTAATCAGTTCAACTTAATTTACCGAACACAGTTCAACAAGTATGCAACCCACACTCCACAAGTCACAAGGATAGTTCCATCCAAGCCCTGCAGAAGAGAATATAAATTGACTGTCAGACCACAACTACAAATAAATGGTGAAATGTAAATCTCAAATGTAGCCAAAAACAATGAACAAACTGTATAAAAAAACATTACCCAAGATAACTTCTGGTGCACGGTAATGTCGTGTTGACACCACATAGCTATGATCTTGATGCTCAAATGTAGTACTCCCAAAATCAATGAGCTTAATAGCACTGCACTTGGGCAAATTCTTGAAATAGGTGCCATCCTTTGTGGGTCGTGCCAGAAACTAGGTCACAGCCAAAAGAAAACACAACAAACACAAGTTATAAGAACTTTAAGTAATTGTACAACTTGATGAGCACAAATCACTCCAGTGACTCCACAATTTGGGAAAATATAATATGTTGCTTCAAAAAACATTAGGTACATTAGTGATTCTTAGGCCTTGTTTGGCTGGGCTATGAATGGGGTCTTGAAAGCCATAAAAGCTCAAGAAAGATCTTTTATGGTTTGGTAAGGTGTTCTTTGAAAGCCACGGCCATGTGGAAGTTAAATCTCAAAAAACCAAAATCAGGAAGCTTCAATTGAAGCTTTGTTCCATTCTACAATGAATTTTAAAAAAATAAATAAATAAAAATGGAACCGCTTCTTCCTTTGTACGACCAGTGGTTCAACTAATCTGGGTCAAACAGGTTAATCCATGATATAATAATTAAGCAGTATATAATAAAATATAAAAATATATATAAATTGCAAAAAATTATAGACATTTTGCAAAAAAAAGGACATGAATCTAACATTATATGCATATCATCTTATACAAAAATAAGTGTGATAAATGAGAATTATTTTTATTAACGGAAACGACTAAAAATACAAAAAACAGAGAATTAATGTCTAACTAGTGGCCATTGATTGGACAAATGGTTGATCAGCTGATTAAGCTCAATTGATCAATCACCAGGTCATTGATTGAATCAACATTTTTTTTTTTTGCATCTAAATGTTTTGGTGAATAAACAGACCTGGAAACCTAGCCATATCACGGGTCAATCATTCCAACTACTCAGTTAAACTGCAAGTTGAAAACATTGCTAGAACTTTGAAACCTTTTTTTTATAAAAGATAACTTTCATCAACAAAAAGAGGGAAGGATATATAGGATGTATAAGAGATACATCTTACCATTACTTGTGTGAATTAGTTACACATAATTTTGTTAGATTTAAACTGGACATAAACCATTTTTTTTGTTGTTGAGTCATGGACTGAGCAGTCCAACCATATAGTTAAATTGTTCAACTAACTAAATTAAAAATTCAACAAAAGAAGAAAATACAAAAATAACAATAAAACAATAAATATTATAGATTATAACAGACTTGCACATGTATCTAAGGTAGGTACACATGTATCCATGTTTGACGACAATTATGAAGATTTTTTTTATCAGTAAAAATCTTTCATTAATAACAGAGAGATTAAAATATGGTAACATTGTTTGACGACAATTATGAAGATTGTTATTAATATGGCAACCAGAAAACCTGTTGGTCATTTACCACTGTTACGAGGTGAAAAGAAAGCATTTGGAGAACAACGTTACCAAACAAACTTTCCAAGCTTTTTCTTCATCTTTTGAATCCTAAGGATCCTTTTGAGCTTTGAATGATCTTTTTAGATAGTCCAACCAAATGCCACCTTAATTTTCAATAGAAAGTCCAATTATTCAAAAACCAATACCTACCTTATAATCAGGCACCTTAACATAGTCGGAGGAAACAAGAAGAATGTTTTCTGGCTTGAGATCGGTGTGAATGAGTCTTAAATCATGCATAACTGCAAGGATAACAAATGGAATGAATGAGTCAACGTTAAAATAATGAGTTTACTCAAGATTCTCAACTGCCACACTTGTCCAACAAATATTAACAAAAATTGCAATGAAGGGAGGAAATGAAAATGCTACTCATAATGGAAATGCTTGAATGATGAAATGGGGTAGCACTGATCGACAAGGGCTGCGATTCTTTGGCCGGTATGGGAAGAAAGAATTGCTAGATTATTCAAGGACGAGAACCATTCTAAAGAGACATTGACTGAGAACATCACAACAGAGGCGGTACATTGGGTTAAAACCTTACCAGTTTTTAACCTCTATTTGGTGGATGATTTGATTAAAGTATAGGAGTTTCATGCTTCATCAACCTTGGCCATTAAGTCAATAGCCTCAATTTGGATCCCTCCTTCAGAGAGCAATGTTAAGTTGAACTTTGATGAGTGCAGCTTTGGAAACTGAGGGAAATCAGGCATTGAAGGTGTATTTAGACACCATGATGGCACAATCTCATCACAGTAATTGGCCATACTCTAAGGATTAAGAATACGAAGAGATAAAAATTAGAACCAGCCAGTGCTAGAAGGGGATTCAAAGTTTATTGTGGGATGGCTTGAAAACAAAACTGAGGAACTGTGGCAGTGCCCTCACGTAATGAGAGAAATCTGTTACCTTGCTAGAAAGGTAGGAGCAACAATCAACTAGATTCAAAGATCTACCATTTTTTTGGCAGATGCCTTACCAAATAAGGGGTGGTCACCAAGACACAAATGTATTTGGGGGATCATTCCTAGGAAGGATGAATAAAAAACGTAAATCAGAAAATTAAAAAGAAGATGGGTTAGGTAGTCTTATTATCCAAACCTGAGGGATGCCATGATGGGATTCCATGCAAGCAAAAACTCTGCACACACTCTGAAAGAATGGGAATCCTGCCGAACATTGGGAACATCTCCCAATGAATTTAACATACACGTATGGGAGATACTATCAATGTGTTGCCATGTGAGCAGAGTTTTTGCTAGCAGGAGATCTGGGCTCAGGGATGCCAAGCATTTTCTTGTACATGACATACATTTTTTCAGAAATTAACAAAAGTTCCCGTTACTGAAAAAAATGGATAGAAGTGATATTTAAGTCTCAAATTTCCATAAGAAAGCACTCAAGCACCAAATGAGATGCAATATGGGAAAGAATGGTGCAAGTATTGTCCACACACATGCTACAGACTCCAAAAGTTGTCTGCCAAACTCCCGAACAAGATCAATGGGAAATGAACGGTAGCTGTTTTTGCGGAGAAAATCGTATAAGCTTGGTCCAAGCTTCTCAAATACCTGTTAAAACCATTTAAATTCATCCGCAAGTTTTAACTCGCATAATATTCAGTCGTGGAGGAAATGCACCGCCCTCCAAAATGAACCAAAAATACCAATAAATACTTACAATACAAATATGATTACGATAGTCAAACCAATTCCGTATTTGCACACAACTGCAAAGAATAAAACCATTTATACCAAATTCACCTTAAATGGCTACAGCTAAAAAGGGATGGAAAATGATAGATTACAAATGTCCTACCGTCTGCCACCAACATCATGTTTTGCAAGCCTCTGTAGGACATCAATTTCAATCATAGCAGCTTCACGATACTTGTGAATAGAGCGCACTATTTTAATTGCAACCAGTTCTTTGGTTTCATAATCCAAACATTCCAGGACTTGCCCAAAAGTTCCTGCAACAATTGCACCATTAGAGAATGAGATAAAGGAAAGATGATCCCAGAAAATGGCGTGAGAACAGAGTTCCCCAGTTTTTAAGTTTAATTGCAATAAAAACATGCGCACGGGAGAAAAAATGAAGTACTTGGCACTGGAAGAGAGTCAACAGGCAAAAAAGAGAGAGAGAGAATTGGAAAAGAATGAGTTCAATGATTGAAAAACTAAAAAACCAACCTTCACCCATTTTGTTAAGGATCCTATCTGCATGTACCAAAAGCCAATCATAAGGTACAAATTATTAATTAACAATACAAGAAAAGTATACAAATTTGTGTATAATTACAGCGTCGGTTCAAAGTCTCCCCAATGGCAAAGACATAATGGCCATCTTTGTCGTCATTTCGCCATGGAGGTGATCCATTGCGAGGCATTCCCTTGTAATACAAAGAAGAATAGGCATAGCTGGAAACGGCCCCCGTCACATATTCTTGGCCACAATATATAGCTGGAAGAACCTGCACAAATCCAACCACTCAATCTAGCAAATGCATCAAACCCCCCACAATTTCCTTTTTCTAACAAGAAATTCAGCTCAAAAACACCATTCATAGTTTCGTACAAAAAGTTGATAGAATGCATCGGGAGAATGGCAACTTTGAAAAGAACTAGGAAGGCGAGGATAAAATAACGCCAGCAAAAATTCAGATTTAGCAAGAAAAGGCATTCCAGTAATAATATTTAAAATATACAAAGACAGATCCACAGCAAAATAAACAAACAAAACAAAAGAAAATAAATAACCAAATTGAAAAGATATCATTTATATGTTCAGAAAAGAATTCTAAAATTAAATTCAAGCATTATTTGGATCATGAAGGTTTTGACTTCTTAGGGAATAAAACAAAAGAAATAAATAATAGGAATAAATAGAGATCAAAATGTTGAAAACAGAATTCTAAAATTTGAAGTATCATTTAGATCATGAGGTTTTGACGCCTTAGAGGATTAAAATGGGGAAAAGGAAACAATTACCGACAATTTCATTTTTTTTTTATGAATCGCTGACATGAAACATTAAAAACGAAGAACGACACTTAGGGTTACAAGCAACAAAATTCTACGAGAAGCCGATGATAACTCAGGAAAAATAAAGTAATTTATAAGGAAACAGAAGAGAATCGCACCTTGGAAGGAGGAACCGGAGGCATGTCCCATGTTAATCTAGGCCGTTTTCTTGGGCGCTTATCCATGTTCGACTGAGGAAATCCGTTAATCCATTCTGTCCCCATTAAAATTTGCCCCTTCGCAGATAGAGGAATTAAGAAGTTGCAGAGAGAAAGAAGAGTGACAAATAACAGAGACGAAGATCTGATGAAGAAAAACCAAAACAAAAATTTATTTTCTTTTTTACAATTTTATATATTAAAAAATATACCAAATAAAATTGAAGAATAAAACCAGCAACAAAGTTGGCTTTTCGTAACCCTAGTTTTAAGTTTTAAGCGAGACGAGAGCTATACCTAACCAGACCCGCAACTAACCGTAGTTAATATTGGACCTTAAAACTTATCCAGACAGTGGATCTCCTACACTTTCACATGTGTAATTTCATGGATGGATTGATGCCGACAGCCAGCCTTGCTGGTCAATACGTGTCCATTTGGATTGCAATGCTGGCACACTCACGTAAGATGGATTCTGATCATACGATCCATCCACTTGAATCGCAATGCTTTCAAGTGTGCCTAAAGAAGGCTTGTATTGACACCTGGCAATTCTATTAATGCAAAACCGCAAGTGTTAGTGTTGGAATTTGCCGAGAAGATAAGTATGTGGGACCTTTCGATTAAAATGTTGCGTAGAGGATTGTTGGGTCGTCTAGGAAAATTCACTAAAATGTTACCTTCTCTGTTCCAATCCCCCTGTTAAATAATCGCATTGGGTATTCATAATACTGCCTAGCCCTGCACGGCTTTACCGAGTACCGCCCCGGGCGGCTTGTTCGGGAGCGGGTCACCCACCATTTCAAAATTTTGCTTCAAAAGCTGAGAGCCTGAGACTGAGACTCGGCGTGATTAAAATCATGAAATGCATGACTTTGCTCCAACTTTTGTAAAAGGGAGACGCTTGTTTGGTTACATAGAAGAATCCGAAGTACGAAAAGCACTCCAATTACACATGCATGTTATTATCCTTGAGTTCGGGTTCAGTCCAGACACCCTCAGTGAGGGCACCGTTCGCGCAATTGGAGGACGTAACACGCATCCTCTAAATGGTTGAAGTATGCGAGGAATGCTTTTCGCCGTTATTGACCTGTTCTCTCCCTCGAGTGACTCGTTCTCTTCTCCCTCTCTCTCCCCCCATCCACCTGGCGGTGACTTAACATCCATTACCGCCGGCGATAAACAACCATCATTGGCGGTAATGGATGTTAAGTCGTCGCCGGGTGGATGGGGAGAGAGAGGGAGAAGCAAGTCCGCCACTCGTCTACTCCCCGCAGATCCAATGGCTTCTCTGTGCTGGTCACTGGGGCCGCTGGCTTCGTGGGTACCCACTGCTCACTGGCTTTGAAGAAGCGAGGCGATGGAGTTCTTGGTCTCGATAACTTCAAATAGTTGATGAAGATGAGCTTTCCCCGATCGAACAAGTGCGGTTAACGGTGACCAACACCGACGATCCAACCCTCCCCGTCTGGACCTTCCGGATGTGGTTCCTGGGTTTGATATCATGCGCACTACTGTCATTCCTCAACCAATTTTTCGCCTACCGAACGGAGTCCCTCATCATAACCCAGATCACCGTTCAGGTGGCTACCCTCCCAATTGGCCGCTTCATGGCTTCTGTCCTACCGCGCACCAAATTTCGCTTACCAGGTTTGGGCCGACGGAATTCTCTCTGAATCCGAGACCATTTAACATGAAGAAACATGTTCTCATCTCCATATTCGCTAATGCCGGGAGCGCTTTTGAGAGTGGATACGCCTATGCCGTCGGCATCGTCAACATTATAAAGGCTTTCTACCGAAAAAACATATCCTTCTTAGCCGGATGGATACTTGTAATAACCACTCAAGTCTGTGATATCGGTATTTCTTTTTCTCTTCCTCCCTTCACTTCTGGTTGTTCTTCTATTATTTTATTTTATCAGGTTTTGGTGACAGCTAATACGCGCACCGGTGATGACTGTTTGTACTCTTTCCGCCAGTGATAACAGTCCGGCTTCTATCAGACTCCAAAATACCTGAGGGGATCGCCGGTGATGACTGTTGATCGCCGCAGGTTGGAGAGGGAAAGAATGAGAGTGACTAGTGAGGGCAGAGTCCAAGAGTTGAGCGGGAAGTGGGATGGAATGAATGAGAAGCTAACGGCATAAACAGCATAAAGGATAGACTCCATTAATTCCTTTCGCACGTATTAAGCCAATTCACGAATTAAAAGACGCGTGAAGCGTCTTCGCGCTGTGCAAACGGTGCACGTATATAGCGTGCCTGTACTGAAGCTGAACTCATTTTCCTTGCGCACGAGACCCATTGATTTACAAGGTGTTTGGTTCCATGGGCATATAAACGCTGCTATATATGTTTTATTTCAGCAGTTTTTCTCTCTTTTCTGTAGAATGGTAAACGTGAATTTTGATTTTTGTACACATTTACTATTTGAGAAAATTATTTTTTAAAGTTTTTATAAACAGTTAGGCATTTTTTCATTGGTATTCCAGGTGTAGAGCCCAATGACGCTTAATTGTCAAAAACGATTGTAATTTCTTTAATTTTACAAATAAATAAAACATAAATATTGAATGAAAAAACGTAAATAAAACCAAATACATACTTAGTAAAGTTAAAAATTTCATCGCATATTACAGAAATATTAGGTGTATCTTATGGATCCTGCTCAATATTAAGTATTTTAAAATTTTAGTATGATTATAATCAAAGCGTCTTGTCTTTTTTGGTAATAAATAGATTTCAATAACACAAAAAGATTATACAGCCAAATTTGCCACATCTATGTTGATCAGACTCGTAACCCACAGGGGGAAGAGCCAACAAAAAACCATCTTCAGAAAGACCTCCAAGGGGTCTTGTTAAGAATCTCATAAAACTTTAAAATTCATAGAAACAATTGATATATTTATTAAAAAGCTAGCCTTAACAATACCCTTTAGACAAAGCTTGGAAGACCCCAAAAACTGATTCATATCAGTCAAATCACAAAGGTTTAAATGATGATAATGATGATTCGTGATGACTAAGGCTTACGGGTCCAATTATAATTATATCCTGGATTGAGGACTTTTTTCGGTATAATAAATGTTCCCATTGTGCAACTAAATGAATGTGACATTTATAACGCTAGAAAGAGGTGGTACAAAATGAGATTTGACCAATAAAAACACACCTGTAAATTTGATAAATACCACCTTATTGATTACGTTTATGATATCAGTTAATTGGTGACATGTTTCATAGATATTATATCTTTGATATCATAGCTGAACCCGATCAGTATGACTGCCGCACAAGGATGAAAGAATGAAAAGGGAAAAGGGAAAAGGGAAAAGGGATAGACCGACTTGCATAAAATCTAAAAAATCGGGATTTGCTCTTCCCAGAGCACTCCTCACAATGCCCCATCCCAACGTGTATTGGGACTCACAGAATGCACCTTACATCTCCCCTCACAGTTTCGAAAGAGTACAAATATAAATTTGTAGAGTACAAACCCTTATATTTTATATTATTTAATATATATTTATGCTGTACATATTTGTATCTGTACTCCTTCCAAACTGGGCCAGAATAACAATACAGAGTTCAGAATATGCTCTCAACGCAGTTGGATGGAGCTGTGAAGTCGGTGTGAGGTGCGTTCCGTGAGGAGCAGATCCGGGCTCCGGAATATTCTCGATCTAATGCTATGAAATCTATGCTAATGCTACGATTAGCCACATTATCCCTTGTTAGTGAGAAACCTCTCGACCCATTTAGCATTGCAATTTCTGACTTACTGTTTGAGGATTTAATGATTATGTTTTTATTTGTTTGCAATGCAAATGCAGTGATGAAATCTGAAGCAAAGTACAACCTGAAACGAACCACAATTAGCATTCTTCTCATACACTCCTATGCATCTGTACTGGTGCAAGTGACTTTGCACTCCTATGCATCTGTGCTAATGGGATTTCAACACATTAAAACTCTGAACAACGTCAAAAACCTATACGAGGGGAATTTCAATATTACTCAGCCGAAGAAGGCCCAGTCAATCACCTTTAAGAGTGTACATACAAGGAGATACTCTATCTATGTCAGTAGGAAATTACAAGTTTGCTTAGCCACGCTTGCGAGGCATCTGAGTACTGTACATCCAAACGAATTGCCACAAACGACTTGATTGCAGCCCCCTGTCAAAGAAAAAGGCAAGAATAAAACCGTAAGAAGTAAACAAAAGACCACTACTTTTACATCTCCTTGCCTCAAACCTTCAATGTAAAAGGGGCGGGAAACAATCAAACTGAATATATTTTGTCCCCTTCATGGCAAAACTTGCTTCTGCCCCTTTTATACAGAAGCTTCAAGGAAATTTTAAGTGACTTAGGTCAACCACGCTTCCACCAAAATTCAATGGTCAGCATGACAAACTTCACTTCATGGATTGAACCATGACAAAAGTTGAACCATATTGAATTTATTTCAAAATGTGAAAGTTGATAAGGACTTTGAAAGCAGTCTCCAGGCATAGGGTTGGCAGAAACAGCTGCTAGGTCTGGGGTATAGAGGCCTTCAACTTTTTTGTCATGGGGAAGGGAAAGAAAGCTTTCATGAAAGACTAGATCCCTTCTGAATTTTCCATAAACTGGATGATTTTCCATAATCAGTTGAATAATAGGCCAAATAACTTTACCTATTTCATCTTGTTTGGGAAATCTCGTACGAAAATGTATGATACTCGAACCGAGAAGGCAGGTAGAGAATTTCATCAGCACACAGAAGCTTTTGTTCGTTTTCAAGCTGCTACAAGGATTTCAACAATTCAATAAAATCCTCTGGCTCCTTTCCTTCTTTAACAACCTGTCCTCACTCACCATCCAACACGCAGAGTTAGAATCACCATCAGAAACTGCAAAAAGAATAATAGTTAATGGCTCAGCTAACCTAACAGCAAATGGAAGGTACTAAGCATACAACAATGCCCATGAATCCAAAACAATAACCAATCTAAACCAGGTAGAAAAAATTTATACATCGAGGATAGATAAGAAGCACAGAATGGGCAAAAAATGCCAATACATGAAACATGCCCATTCAGCCAGAGTGATCATTTATATAACAATTCAAGGCAAGAAGAAGATACATAGAATTTGTACAGGAAATGAAATACATAAAAACATGCCTATTTTATCCACAGCTGTAATTTATATATTAGAGTCTCCTTAAGTGCCAAAGCTCTCATCTATTCAACAACCTTAAAATATCTTATTGATAATGATTTATTAAGAATTATATCAAGCCCAAAGTCTAAGAGGTCAGAGCTGGTCTACTAAGGTGGCTAAACATACTTAACTCTGTTTGTACAGTATAAACATGGTTTGAAACTTTGAACTTCAAAGAATTTATCACTAAAAACTCTGGGTTCAGGTGCAAGCTCCCAATAAATGTCCAAGCTATTTCATGCACTGGGTGTTCAAACTTTAATCATTTCTATGACTTGTCAAAGTATACTGCCAGAGTATAGAGTGTTAACACTTTAAGAATATATAAAATTGTAAACTTTTAAACTTTTAACAGATCTTACTATAAAATCATGTATAAGTTCAGTTGAATCTGGCAAAAAGGTAAGCAGTGAAAGATGGTATTCAATCATCATGTCAAGAAAATCAAGCAGTATAGGCTTGATTAGAAAAAGTGCATTAGGTATCCGATGGTGTTCAGGTTGAACTTTGATAGGATGAAGGTGGAAGTGAGCATTGGATGATGAGAGATTGTTTTGCGTAAGGTTAGGGGGCTTCAGCAGTGTCAGAGACCATGGACCCTAATGGTAGGTTTCATTTGATGAACAGAGGTAATGGTTCCAGTGGTCTGAATCAATGTTTTCAACCCGCTGTTGACCCGGACAGTTGAACCATCACCAGCCAGGATTCCGGGTCCGCTTCAGTCCCATCAGACAGTCAAAAACTGTTGGCTTGTACAATGGGAGAGTACATACAAATTAGACCACTATCCCATTTGTGGTTACAAAAAGATTCTCTACAGCTAACTGTGCTGATGAATAGGATAACAGCTTCCCCACTATTTTCTTCCACACTTCCTCCTCTTGACAGCCTTTGCTTTGGAATAGCCTTAGGTTTCTTTCCTGCCATATCAACCAGAAAAATGCCCATAGAACCAGTTGTCATAAAATTATTTATCAAAAAAACAAAAACAAATGTCATAAAATTTTTTTCTGAATCAAGCCTTGGATCCACCAACCTTTCACAAAAACTTCAACTGAGGCTGGGTACCAACTTTTGATAGCAAAGTTCCTGAAATTTTTCACCCAAATTTTGTAGGTGAAACTGCAATGCAGTAACAAGTTGTCACCTGATTCTTCTACACTGTTACATAACACACATTCAGGTGAATCAATCACCACTCCCCTCCTAATCAGGCTGTCTTTTGTAAGAATATTGTTCAGGTAGGCAGACCAAACAAAAAAAAAGCCACCTTTGAAGGGATATGCTTGCTCCAGATTACATACAAAGGAAAATTCTGCTCATCCTCCTGAGCAAACTGATTATAAAAGGATTTTACTGTGAACTGGCCCTTGCTATCCATTTTTTTATCAATAAAGATAAATTTTATTAAGCATCATATAGAAGGAATTACATCAAGATGGAAAGTTCTCCACCAGAAGAAACTTTAGATTTTTGCCCAAAAAATCTGTTGTTTTGTAGCCCCTTTTTTAACCAATGTATCTGCCATCTCATTTGCTGTTCTTCTTACCCGTCTAAAAGTGGCATTCACCCCCCTTGCTAGGGATTCTATTTCACGGACTGTATGCCTGTCCATGGATTTTGGGTATTATACCTTGTACATGAGATAACCACTTGAGAATCCCCTTCTACTTCCAAGTTAAGAAACCCAAACTGCTTAGCAAATTTTAGACCCTGAAGAAAACTATACAAGTCTGCTGTCACTGCATCACCATTGGTTATAGGTCCTGAATATAAAGCAAGCACCTTCCCTTCTGAGTCTCGAAAGACCCCTCCCATCCCAGCTATAGCCCGATTGCCAATGTAGCACCTTCCCTTCTAGCCCTTGCTATCCATTGACAACACCCTTCTTGTTTTCTGAGTTAAAATCAGTTTGCATGTTGTACAGCTTCTGGAGTGGTTTACCAAATGGTTCAATCTCCCAATCATTCAAAGCTCTTCTGAACCATGGGATCCAAACATACTCCCCATTTTGAAGCCACACCCCTTCAGCCACTTTTGCCCCTTTATCAACAGCAACTGCAAAGAGTTCGGGAAATCCATCCTCTAACATATTGTTTCCACACTAGAAATCCATCCAGAATCTGACCCCGGTTCCCCTCACCACTTCAAAATTGATTTCCTTGCTGAAAAAACATTAGCTCTTTTCAATTCCTTTCCAAACCGAACAACTCCAATTAAAATATATATGACATGTATTAATATCAATTTATAAATTTATCCTATTTGCATAAGTTAGAAAGTTTGATTTTTAAAATGTTCAGTTTTCTCTTTATTTTTTGAATCCTATGGTTTGATTCATGAATATTACAATTTATACAATTCATGTGCTTGAAATCAATTCACTCAAGACTTAAATTTCTACTTCATCTTATCGTTGCTTCTTTTAATTTTTCAAGGGAGACTTCTTTAAAGCACTCACTAGAAAATTATCTTTTATTTTTTATAGTAAATAAAAAAATATTAAAAGAAAATTGTAGATTACAAGAAAGGTGACAAGAAGTCACACAAGAGAAAAAAATGCAACCCTAGATCCTAATTAAAACAGCGACAACCCCCTCCACATTTGTTCAAAACAAAACACCACCATACAAATAATCACCAGACCAAAAGAAGAATCAACACATCAACCAGAATCAAAACAGCCAACAATTCAAGAACTCCCACAATTAACAACCACCAAAAATACACTTGACAGACCTCCTAACCCTCCAAAATTTCACCTCAACAACCTCAAACAACCTTTTAGAAAATTATCTATTTAGGTCATTTAAAACCTTTTGGAAACCTTTTTTTTTATTAGCACCTTTTGGAAACCTTATTGTATGTGGATTAGTTGACTTTCAAATCAAACTTGATTAATAATCTTAGGCTTTCAGTGTATACAAGGTATACTTTAATGTTTCAATTACATATATGGTAGATATGGATTAAAATTTTGGCAAAATTACTCATATTGCTTTTAATTTTATGACAAAGCTTGTAAAAAATAAATAATCTTATTTTTTTATCAATAAAAATAAATAATCTTATTATTTATGAACACAATTTTATTCAAGTTCCTATACAATTTATATTGGATCTGAATCCAATCTGAGAGCCCTAGACCCAATTGGATTCAAATGAGGCTGGATCCACTTCAAATCGGATAATGGCGATGACGAAAATGGACCTTTCCCTCTACTAATTATGATCAAGGTTCCAAGTATAGATAAAGTCCAATATGCCAGATGGGGCGTATCAGACATTGTAACACCATGCATTTTATTTTATTTTTGGTCTTTTTAAACCTATTCAGGGGGATTGGTATAAGGACTGTCTACATATCAGCCGATACGGGCTAATACATTGCAAAATTTTGATCACTGGTTACGGTACCATAAAATGGAGTAGGAAAAACTCATCCTCAAGAAACAAAATGCAACAACTACCCCCTCCTACCTTTTTACAAAGTATTTAGAATATAAAGACAAAAAGAAATTCAAACTTAGCAGACTATCAACTCACATAGGCAATCACCTGAAATGGCAGATGACTGTCCATTGACAGACAAAGCAGTTTATCACCAAGACATTGATTTGAGAGACAGCTAGCTAGGTGAACATATTTGGCAACACTTGAACAGATGCTACAAGTTAGCAAAGATAAGCAACAGAATTTATACACTTAGGCTCAGTTTGGAAGGAGTACAAATACAAATATGTACAGTACAAATACATATAAAATAATACAAAATACAAGGTTTTGCATTGTACATATTTGCATTTGTACTCCTTCCAAACTGAGCTTTCATGTTTCCACAGAAAACAGAGGCAAAAGTGTATCTACTACAATATCAATAACAACAAGGAGAGAGATACATCCAGGCTTAAGATGATAACAAGGTATCATTCAGTTTTTGGCCAGCAGTAAACAGATCTTCAGAAAGAAACAAGGTATAACTTTAACCATAATGAAGATACATTATACGTAGAAATAAAAATCCAATACATATGACCTGATAAAAGGATCAATGGTTTTTCATACCTTAATCAGGATATCCTTCCGCAGTCCCATTTTAGTAAGAAAGTATGAACCAACTTGATGCCAGTCAATCTCTTCTACATCGCCTACATCTCTGCTGTTATCTAGCTGGAGCTGTCTTTTACCATGTTCAAAAGATTTTCCTATCCACAAATATAGAACCCTAACCTTATCTTGAAGATATTTATGCTTTTCTACACCTGTACTTGGAGTTGGAACTAAGAAAAGAAAAACAGCCTCTGAATCCAGATCGCATGCACCAAATGCTGCTACCCTTTCTAAATCAGGCCATCGGCATACTGTGGGCTGCACTTGACCACAAGACTCTGAACCATCATCCATCAATCCAGTTGAGTGTTTTGAGACTTCTTGCGCATGACAAATTTTCACCAAAGCTTCTTGCATGCTGTGTGGATCATCACTGTATAATCCCCTTGAACACAATTCAAATTGGACTCCTTGAACCCCATCTTCCTCTTTAATTGCAATCACCTCACCAGATTCTAAAACTTGTTCTTTCAATTTTCCTAATAAACAAGAGCTGTCCTTCTCATTGTTGTCTCTTTGAGTTACAAGAGAAGCTAAAGAATCATTTTTCATTCTCCTATATGAAAGTGAGGTACCATCAGTTGAGGTTGGCAATTTTAAAGATGGTGACAAGCCACCTCTCCGTTCAGCAAGAGACATAATAAATTTCTTAGATGATGGAACTGTTTGAGAACAAGGTTTTGAAGCATGACCTAATCCAGGGGCTTCGGGACTGTTAGGTGAGGGAGACTTCTGCAATGGAAGGAGTGACAAGTCAGACAAGGCAGAGGAAGGAGGTGTTGGTGTAAGAGAACATGAAGATGTTGAAGGAGATAGCGAAGGTGATTCTGAACTAGATTTAGAACTAGCGCTTGAATCAGAAGAGATAGAACTTGGGGAAAAATAAGGAGGCGAAAAAGATGATGATGATGATGATGATGATGAGTTAGTAGACAAGTTCGGAACATTGTTTACACAACTATTGCAGTCTACTATCAACATGGAATCAGAATAGACTCTACAGAGAGGTACCTTGGAAGCCGAGACAAACTCTTTCACATTGGCAAAGGCAAACTTGCGCCTTAAAACACTCCAGTTGCTCTCCCTTGCAGGAAGGTGGGTTTCTTGTCCAGAGCCAGAAGATGAAAATGGAGGAACAACACCCCCAGTTATTGCCTTATGGAAAAGCTCAAAATCAATATTGTAGGAATCCACTCTTCTCTCACCTGAGACAATCTTCTCAGCTGATTCAACCTCGACAACATTTTCCGACTTGCTCACTGAAGGCTGTAGATTGGAAAAGGCATCCCAAAAGTCTGATGGTTCTTCCCCTTCCACAACAGTTATTATTGGACCTTGCACTCTCTCATAGCGAACAACTTGAAAAGCCGCCCCCTTGGCATCCCTTTCCATGATGGTTTCACATTTTTTGCCAATCCAGACGTAGATAGCAGACGGCACATGTATGATAAATGCCCCTCTAGAATCCAAGGCAGATGGAGAAGGATCATTCAACATTTTGGGGACCAGATGGAGAGGATCGTATGAAGAATGTGGCGCCATCCTGTACATCCTCAGTACTGAGCTGGGGCTAAGTGGAATGGCGTGGACCCTCTTTTGACACTGTAACAGCTGACAGGCGAAGCCCATATTAGGGTTTGCAATTCCCCTCGCTGCCTTCACATACTGAAAGGCATCATCAAAGCTCTGCCCTTCCCTCCACATGAGATATGCAATCACCAAAGATGTGGAACGAGAAACTCCCTGGCAACAGTGGACCAAAACCCTCCCTCCTTGTTCCCTCACATCCTCAAAATAATCAAAGACGTCATAGAGTATACTGGTGATGTCCTCCGACGGGCTATCCTGCAACCACAACGTCTTGTACACAAGGTCTGACTTGAAGTATTCAGGGCAAACAAAACCAACGCAGTTGAGAACATGGGTGATACCATTCTGCCTTAGAATATCCCTGTTCCTAGCAACTGCATCTCCTCCAAGATAGATATGATCTGCAACCTTGGAGCATTCCTTATCGAAGAATGCAATCCTATCTTTCTTAACAAGAGTGCCGGTTGGATCCTGGTTCTTCTGGAACGAGGAGGGCAAGTCGAGCCTCAATCCGTCCCCTGACTTATTTAAATCTCCTCTACCACTTGGGGTTGGAGGTTGGGGCCACTCTCCGACATCATCCGAACCAGCTTTTGGCCACTCGTCCAAGCTCCGGCGGGAAATCGACAAAGGCTGTAAGGGGGGCAAGCAAGCCCGAGCCTTGCTATTGTTTTGAGACCTCGGAGTAAGAGGAACAGGAAACCGCCGGCACTGCCCAGAGTTCTTGTCGGTGCCATGTGGATCTGCACAATCTTTGGCATTGTCAAAATGTGTAGTGGCCTGCGGCATAGACCTAGAAGACCAGGATGCAGACCTCCAGAACGTTTTGCGGCTACCGGAAATCTGGCACTGCCCCCGAGAACCGGCGGCATCCTCCTCCCCTACCATGCCCAGTACAAAATCCTCAGTATAGAGCCCCAACCGAATTCGAACCGGTAAACCTAATTTCCACCGTCATGAATCATTTGCGATCATAATAACTAAGACATTGCGGACCAGAAATAGAAAGAATGAAACAATCAGAAGCACGACCAATACCCGCTCGCTCCATCCATACCCTTAACCTACAACCCAGAACAAGAAATCACATGAGATGAAGAAAGGAAGCTTAAAAAACGGAAACCAGAACCGGCAGAAGTTCTACAACTCTTGATTAAAATTTGCATATGGACCATACAGAAGAGTGGGGAGAGAGATCCAGAGCAGCCAATTTTGGCATCACTAAACATTTCATTCATAAAGAAAAAGCTTCAGATGAAAACGTTCAAAAAGAGATAAATCTTAAAACAAAACCCTAACCGAAAGAGGGTAAACCGCAGAACCAAGTCAGAAAAAGAAAAGGGAAAAAGAAAAAAATAAATAAAGAAAAAGAATGAAAGATTGTAAAACACAGAAACGTAGAAAGGCAAAAAGCAAACAATAAGTCCATGCCGCTCGATTCGAAAATGAAAAGAAATATAAAAAGATTAAAAAAAATGGTCTTAAGATTTCATAACTTACAGAAAATGAAGAACAGGTGGGGAGAGAGAAGGTGGGACTACTGGCAGTAGCAGAAGAGGAGAGAGACAAGAGGAGAAAATGGAGAACACACCAGCCACCACCGCTACCAGCAACACCAGGTCTATTGTCGTTCCTTCTCGTTTTGTATTTTTATTTAAAAATTAACAAATATATTTATATATATAGTGGGAAAATGCTGCTTGAGTTTAATTAACCACAGTTTGGAGTTTACGAGTTTAGAACAGTAGACGGTAGAGGAATAATGACTGGCGACTGGCGAGTTTTAAACGCGGCTTAATCGTCAGATTGGTGCATCTACGGGATTCCGATCCGACGTGAAAAGACGAGCCCCCAGAGGAGGTGTCCAACTGTCTCGAGTGAAGCGTGATTGTGAATATAAAATTGGAAGTAGAACTGTAGAAGTGGGTGGAAGGAGCTGCTGCACGTGCACGTGAAGGAAGGAGCGAAGCAAGAAAAGCCTACCTACTACGCCCCTACGACCAAAGTTTTCAATTTTAATGTCACCCAGACAGACATGATGATGCTAAGGCAGCAATTTGGGTCGGGGTGGACCGAATTCAACGCGAAAAAAAGTTAGGTTGAGTTGGATTGCATTGGTTTCATGTTTGGATTAGGATTAGGATTAAAATTTATAAATTCGATTTTATTTTGGGTTGGGTTAGGGTTGATCCTTTAATCAATTCGATCTAATCCGAATCCAACTATATAATATATGTCATATATAAATATGTGTTATATATAACATACATTGATTTGTTTAGATGCATGATATTTTTATAGCCCCATCATATAGTATCATGTATTTCTTTTAAGATAATAACTCCACTTAATACTAATTAGAAAGACTAAAACCTTAATAACATTATTTTATGTTTTTTGAAAATTTTATGTAGTTATAACTCATAATAAACTATAGTCATTTCTAACACTTATTTTTTTGAATTTTGTATCAAAAGAACAAAAACAAATGTCAACAAATACTAATGAAATATAGAATTAATATATGTAGTGAAAGTTAAGTTAAGATCTAAAATCGAAAAAATCCTATAAAGTTTTAAGGGATGGGAAGAAAGTTGGGTTGGGCCCTGAAATTGACTTTGGGTTAGGGTTAGGGTTGGGATTTAGAACTTAGGGTTAGACTACGGTTGGCCTCAACCCGACTTACAGCCCTAGATGATACCCGCCATTCTTAAAATGGTATTCCTACTTGGCCTTGCGAGAAAAATCGGCATCATTCGTTTCAATTTTCAATTTAACATCCTTTTAAATCAAGACTTTAGTTTTCTTTGAACAGTCGCAATGGAATGAATTGGAGACATGCCAAGCCACCAAAGCACCAATCACAACACAAAATGTCCTTGACAATGGACATTGAGGACATTAGTTAGTGGACAAACATGGTTGGTTCTTGGTAGGTGCCATTGTTCTTATGTTATTTAAGGTGTGTCTGCTCAGACGACTTACATTAATTGGTAGTGAATCTAGTGATCATGGCATTGCAATCCCATAGTTTGTTTTTGGATTGGTTCTGTAATCATCTATTCCCTTCGCTCATTTGGTTTAGATGGGAATCTAAATTTGATTTTGTTTGGTTTATTAGGAAGTTAAAAATCTTTATCAATTAGGCTGTGTTTGAAAGCTATGCAATTAAGTGTGAATGCAAATATGTAGAGTGTAAAATGGTCCATATATATTGCAAAGTCGGGTTAGTTTTGCACCGACAAAATTATCTTCTTATCAAACGGATTTTTAACTGTAATGGATGCAAATACGAATTCCAATAAACATATGCCTTTTTTATCAAAAGTCCACTTGAATGCAAATTTACTTCTTTTTTATTGATGTACTTTTAAATCTTATTATCAATGTAAATATGCATTGGTTTGTCATTTGTCAATGTATAAATGTAATGTTGTCAAGCACAGACAAAAGTGAACAATAGTGCAAATTTACCTTGATTGTGATTTACACTCTATTTGCATCATTTCCAAACGCAGCCTTCAAATTTCTTGAAAGTGCAAATAAAATAATTCAAAAAATAGGAAAATAACGGATCAAAGAATAAATGCCGATGGCTTACCTCACCAATAGTAGAAGAGAAGGCCCTTACCTCACCCTAAATGGTCTCAACTTGATTGCCACAGAGCTACAAGATCACAAGTCACTTGCATCGACCAAAAAGAGGTCAAATAATAATAATAAAAAAAACACAAATAAATTTGATAGATAAAAAAAAAGTGGTTTTATACATTGGGATGAAAGGCCAATTGGTTCCCCGTCGAAGTTGTAACTTGTAAGGTTCAATCGTTGGGGGAAGGGGCTAACAAGGAGCAAAATGATATGCTGACTAAAAACGAGAAGAGTAATAAAAAGTAAGGTTATTTTTTCGATAAGCCATGGATCTTATAGCAAAGTTATTTTTTCTTATCATCTCCAAAGTGGATAAATAACATTCCATAAGCTATGGGCCCTAAAGTAAAGTTATTTTATAATAATGTTTAAAAAAAATAATTGTATAATTTGCCTAATAATCAAAAGAACATGGATAAGCGAAGTTATCCAAATAAGTGTTTCTTAAGAAATATTTACCTGAGTAAGCATACCTATTTGGGTAAGTGGCCTATTGAAAAATGAATGAGGCCTTAAAAGATACATTATGATTCTTTTGCCCATCATTTTCTTTCAATTTTTTAAAATATATCATGAACTTTTCAAGCTCATGTAGGTGGTGCTCATCATTTTCTTCCAATTTTTCAAAATATATCATATTTTATCAAGCTCATGTAAGTGGTGGGCACACACAATCTCATGAGACATAATAGAAAATATTGATATGATGAAACTATTCATGCTCCAAAAGGGGTGAGAAGAGGCACTTTCTGCTTTAGCACTCAAACCGTCACTGCAGATGATAAAGGAAATTCGGAAAATGGCGAAACAGGAATCAATTTAAAAACAAACAAACTAAATCCTATTGAATTTATTAGCTTGTAGTATCAAGAGTTTGTAACATTGTTAATCTCAATCTCTTATTATTGCATCTTTTTTTTGTAATAATTATGGTACAGAGGAAGTTCCATTTTGGTGATAGTTGTATTTTTTTTTCAACGAATGGAAATTTTAATTATGTAGTAAAAAAATTATACCATAAGCACCATGTACTTGAATCAACGAGATTTCTTCAAAGCATTAAAAAACTAGAAGCTATGCAACTAGTCACTTGGTTTTAGGTGCTCAAAATGTGGTTTTCTTTCTGGGTGAATTCATTTGTTTCTAGCATCGTTGTTGGTAAGATGAGATTGGGTTTATCACTCATGGTTGTCACTGATAATGCCATAATGTAAGACATCAACCTAAATAACCTTTTTTTTTGTTTCTATTTGGCAGGAATTGGAACCTAGGGTATGTTTAAGTATGTGTTTGTTTTGTGGGCGTTTATAGATAGGTCATTTATTTGTATTTTTTTACTTTAAACATTTTCTGTTTTTATTGTTTGGTTGGCTTTCACTTTAAACGTTTTTTACTCTCTTCCACCTTAGGTTAATACCCATTAAAATGTGTCATATCAGCAATTGGTTTAAGAAATGTTTGGGCATTGGAAGAAACAAGAGCTTGACATTTCCCCAAATTCTACATACACAAAAGTCAAAACGTTTCAATTTTCTATCATTTATTTGATAAACGGTGAAACCAAACAGTTGTTTTATTTTGCTTCATATGCAATAAACACCAACGCCTATGTGACACTGATGTGATGGCGCTTTTTCAATAAACACTTAAGAAACCAAAGACAGCCTAAGTCTTTTACAAAAAAAAGAACAATGTTAAAAAAGGTGATCCACGAGCTAGGGTTGACCAACGATGACTTACCTTATTGGAGTTTGAAGCTTTAGCGTCTAGAGGAGGGGTGCGGATAGAGATGGAGGGAGGGAATGAATGTTGTCGAGTAAAGAGATTCAAATGGCCTCCAATGGGGAAACGTCATTATACCAATTAATGATTTCGATCCTATACATGTATTCCTTTAACCAAATAAATCCTAGGCCTTGTTTGTTTGTGGTACAAATGCTTGACCGATGCATATATGTGCCCTGGTCACGCTCTTGTTTGAGACACATATTTGTATCATCAACCGATACAAATATGAATTTTCTGACATCTTTGCATCCTGAATTAATACAAAAACTGTATCAATTTTCAAGATACACAAACGTTCTCTTTGACCAAGAGGTGTAAATAGGCCAATCAAATGTATTGATACCAGGCCTCTTCCCCATGCCGTAACTCTCTCCATTCAACGATAAACCTACTCATTGCCGCTGTAACTCCAACGGTAAGTCCACCTCTCCAACTCCGCTGCTGTAACTCTTTCCATTAACTCCATCTTCCCCATCTCCGCGATCAAACACAGAGAAAAATCTCCCCCACCATCCACTCTCCTGCTCTGTTCCACCAATGCTGCCACTGCTGCAAGTCCAACTGCGGCTCCACCTCCACCAACAAAAACATTTACATCGATACAAACTACCAAATACCAACAAAAACATTTACATCGATACAAACTACCAAATACCAACAAAAATGCATTAAAGTTTGTATTGATAAGAAACGAATGACAACAATACAAGGTGGGTTTCCAATAGTAGGCCCACTTTGTATTCATAAACCGAGCATGCCATAAGTTTGAACGGTGATACATATTTGTGTTTGTACTGCAACCAAATGCAGAAGATTTAATACTCCAATAATTAAAGTCCAAACTCGAAACTGTGCAAAGTTATGAAATTTCGACTCCACGTCGAGATTGATGCTTCTAGTTTCAACCACGAGTTTAAATAAAAGACCCTTGAACTATGAAATTGGTGGCTTGTTTTTGTTTCATCAATTAGCATTATTCTCCTCTCCACTAACCCAATTAAAATACATCACCTGTCCCTATCCATGTCACAAGAGATTTAGTCTTCCAACAACCCACTAATTAAACCTTAACCTCCGTTACTTACTACTTTTTAAAAACAAAATATATATTTTTTATGCATAAATATGTACTCTCCTTTCCTTTCCTCTCTCTTGTGCTTTATGTAGGAATTCTAGAAATGACAAATTTTTTAAAACTTCTAGCCGTTAAACATAACATGATCTGTTATCAACTTTTATGTTTTTCTTCAGTTTTGGATTCTCAAGGTTAAAACTATCTATTGAAGATACCAACTCCAGTTGATTGAATCTGATATTCTTCTCAAGTTTTTGGTAATGTTCTATAAGAAACTATTACAGATCTCTAATTGAATTCTCCACAATATATAAATCTATTTGGCCCAGTTGAGGAATTTACTCCCCACTTCCATTTCTCAACCCAGAAATTGATAAATTTGATAACATAATAAACGATCAAAATGATTCATTTTTGTGGATGATGCTAAGTGCAATATTCAAAATAAGCCCTATGAGGTTCCAGTTTGAGGCTCCTCAAACCTATAACAGTGACGATGTTCAATGTTCTTAATTCAAACAGAGATGAACAGGTTGCTTCTTGTGCTAATATACACCTTTTAGTTCAATTGAAAGCCTTTTAGGAAAATCAATAATAAATTCCTCTTTAATCAAGCAATCTTTCCTAAATTGGCAAATGACAATTTTATTCTGTCAAGCCACAATGCTAGGAAAGAAGAAGGGTCACAAAATCACCAAATAAATAAAAGCAACAATTATTTGATAGTATGAAGTTTGAAGCTACCGAATGTTCAATATTTGGTGTGAATCTATATGACTTGATTTGAAATTTGCATTTCTAGAAACTTGTCCTTAGCATGCAAGAGAGAAAGGGGAAAGGAATGTTTTGTGGATAACTAAAAAAGAGGAATTTATTTTAACGGAGGTTAAGGTCTGATGGGTTGTTGGAAGGTTAAACCTCTTGCAGCATGAGTAGTGACAGGTGATGTATTTTAATTGGGTTAACAGGGAGGAGAGTAGATTAAAGTTAGAGGAAATCCGAACTTGGTCAGGGGAATCCGAATCTGCTCTTCACACAAAGTGTCTTACATGAGGTCGGTGTGAGGCGCGCTCAGTGTGGAGCAGATCCCAATTCGTAAGAGGAGGAGACAATCAGACAACGCGTTTGACTGTTTTGACTTTTTGAGAGAGAGTGAAGGTGTTCGTTCAAAAGGGCAAAATAACCTTAGATCCACGTGCGACGAAGTGTACCGTGCAGATACCATTCCCTGAAAAGAGAAGGCATCCACGTAGATACTCTAATATAATATAGAACTATCTAGAGCTCGTACGATACGACACTTCTTATATTGATCGTGAAGGCGCCTTTGATTTACACAGATAGCATAAGAAGTGTTAATCTATTTTTCTAATTATTGCCAACCGTTCTTTATTCTTGATTAGACACGAGAGAGAGAGGGAAGACAAATGTCTTTACGACAGTGATGGATTCTTTTTAAACTCATCATTATTTCATTACGCAAATGACATTCCAGTATGAAGCAAAAAGTTCCCGCAATAATTCTGATTTGAACTCCCAACTATCAATAACGCCTATTGGCTCCAAATATTGTAAAGCTGTTGCATGTTTGGTATCCTAAAATAAACCAAAAATCTATTGCAAAGCTGTTACTTTCTCAGTTCAGTGAAGAAGGCTTCACCTTCTTAGAACTTGAGAGTAATTTTCAGAATCCAAAAATCTATTAAAATGTTTAACATATTGACCGCCTAACCTCTTTGAAGTAAAATTTTCAGAGTTCACACATCAATTCAATACTAATTAATGAATGCAACCTCAAAGCTAGTGACATCCTGACAAACTCTGTATATATCTGATCCAATATAGTACGATCAACCAATGGAGGGCTGGCTCGTTGGGGTGTTAGCCGGATTGTTCCAGCATTGACGTGGAATCAAATCCCGTAATCAACCAATGGAGGGCTGAACCGTCATTCTCCAAAAAAAATCATAAATGAATTAAATGTTGTTTATAACCTCCCTATAAACAGCATCCTGCCCTTGAATTTGACATTAATTCACGGTGGAGCTACAAAATCCTGACCTGGACTGATCAGTCATTCTCCCATCATAAATCCACAGTAATGATTATAAATTATAATCGAATTCAGGACTTTTTGTTGCTCATGGATTTCAGGACTATAACGCCTTTGAGTATATATACAAGACACACTATTTCATTCATATGAGTTGTTAGCTGCCCCATAGTACTTGCATTAAAATAAAATAAAAATAATATGTTAGACGACTGATTACATGACTTGTTATTATGAAGCTTCTCTAGAGGTGGAGACAAGGCTAAAAATATCAACACAATATGATTGATACATATCGTATCATACTGGTATCCAAGATCGCTAACAAGTGGTGCTCATAGAACAGATCACATTGTATTGCCAAGCATTCTCCTCCTGCCCCTAAGGTTGGATCATATTGTATTGTATCACATTTGTACGGGTCCATACAAATCGATACAGTTTGATATGATGTGACACCATGTTTTGGTTTGGTGAGATTTCTACTTTTTCACCGTTTTACATATCTTGTCCTACAAACTTTTTGTTACTTCATTGCCTCCTATGTTCATCTTCTAAGTTTATTGGAGAGTCCCCAACTTGCAAAAAGCCAAAAAAAAAACCAGCTCAAACATTGCATAAAGATAGAAGAACTGTTGAAACCAAGAGGAAGAAAAGTAGACAAGGTATTTTTGATTGTCTGTGTGTGTGTTTTCATCTAATCATTCATATTCAATAGATCCATGTATTTTGGTGTTTCTACTGCAAAAATTTGGTGATTTATGGTTGGGTTTGTGATATTTTAGGCTTCTATTACTATTAGTAGATCTAGGGATTTTCACAAAAGAAAAAAAGATCCAAAAATTACAAGAATAATTTATTTTGAATGTTAATGATTTCTATTAGTATCTTTCATAAAAATGTTTCTGTTAGTATTTTATTAAACTTGTTGATTCATCAATAAATTATGTCAAAATGATATTTTTATTATTTTTTTCGCAATAAGTATGTAATAAAATAATTGCATTAGTATTTAGTGACTACTAATTGAAAATTCTGAATTACATATTATATGTATCTTGAAAATTCTGATGGACCAAGAACTAGTGCTTTCAATTAGACTCCGATTGGCCTCAAACCTGCCCAAGTTGCATCTCTATCTTGGACCGTCAATCTCTAGAATTTCTAGGATTTCTCAAGGCTCTGATGCTGGAACAAAAGAATCCAGTGAAATGGTGCTTGCTAGTTGCAAATTGCAATACACACTGACTTGTGAAGCATCATATTCATACCATACCATACCTTAGCTAAAAAATCCCAATCCAGCACTTTTACAAACTCGTGAATTCAAATCATCTGACCTTGACACTTAACATATGTACACTAAATATAGCAAATCTGTTATCAAAGGAAACCTGACCTGCCGAAGCTTAGAAAGTTGGTAAAATGAAAAACTTGGAAACTGGAAGTTATTGGTCATAACATGAGGCTGGACCAATAGGAGGGCTTCGAGCATACTCATTCGTGACTGGCGCTGCTGGAACTCCACGTCTATTCAGCAAACATCTGAAGTAGTGCAGCCTTGGTAATACAGTCAAACTTATATTTCCCGCAGATATGGCCTCCCTCCTGCTCCACAGGCGCTCTACAGGGAAAAAGATGCAGGGGTGAATGTCATGTAAGACAAAAAGTGAGACAATATATTATATAAAAGGTTCCTCTTTGAGGATAAGTGTCAACATTGAACCCACTCTAGAAACAAGAATGATTTACATCAGATGTTGCTGACCCCATAAGGTTGGGATAAGGCTTGGTAATGATGGTGATATTTGCTGACCCCATAAAGTTAGATTGTACATCAGATGTTCAATAGATTTGTAGAATAAATAAAAAAATGAAAATGCTAGTATGTGTGAACACTGTTCACATGAGCCACACAACCCCCTGTATCGGCATGCATGTCACTTCATGATCCCAGGTCCCACGTCATGACCTCAGCTCCCATGAAATGAGGGGCCAAGGTTTTCCTATACAGTGTGTTCTCACAAGCTAGTGGTTTCCACTTAAAAAAAAGAAGAAAAAAGGATAGCATACCCTAGAAGTCGGCACTTAAATTTAAATCATCTACTATAATTAGGGCCCATTAGGGAGGGTTTCAGTGTTTATTGAGATGCTTTGCCTGGGACGCTTCAGAGAAGCTACCAAAACAAGCTTCACCAGAACGTAGATTTCTTGGCTCAATTACAGCATTTCGTGGCTTTCCGGGGTTTTCACCAAACATAGCTTCATGACATTCTGTGTCAGGCCTACTTTGCAACACTATAAGCGGCTTCATGAAAACCCTCCCAAACGGGCATTTAGTCAGTACCTAATGGCTTGAAGGAATCTGCACCTTTAAAAATGTCTGGAGTCCGTAACCAAACAAAACAATCAAAGCTACTATTTGCATTCACTAATTCCTGAACAAAAGACTCTGTCCTATTTATAGACTCATAGGATGTAATATTTGCTCGTTAAAAGAGAATTGTTAGCTTTCAAATTAGAAGCACGATATTTCCTAGGCAAATTCTACGGTGATGGGAAAAACTATGAGCCACACAACCCATGAATTGGTAAGCTTGCCCACTTGTGACCTTAGCTCCCATGAATTTAGAGGCTGAGATTTTCCTTAAACATAAAGTGACCACTGTCGTAGAGCCCTATTTTCTAAGATTTCCTTATCTTAACAGCAGACATTCTCTACACATGACAATAACAATAAATAAAAAAATATGTAATAATAACTTTTAGAGGATTTATTAGCAAATGCCAGAAGGAGATCCAACACCCAAAAAAAACTAGTGAATGAGGGGCAGCTGATTGAGGAGGAAGACAAGATAAAGGACACCATAGAAATTTCAACGAAAATTTTATATGGATCCCCACAAACAGGACAAAGCTAGATGGTTTACATGTTCAGATGCTGCCAGAGCATCAAGTGGCTGATCTAGAGAAACCTTTTATCAGAAGAGGAGGTTAAAAAGACAGTAGAGGAGCTGGAAGGGGAGAAAGCACTGGGACCTGATGGATTTACCATCAAGTTCTATAAGAAATACTAGGATATTGTTAAACAGGACTTGCTTAACGTAAAGAAGGAATTTCATGATTTATGGAGCAGTTGAAATGAAACATTTTAGACCCATCAGCTTGATCAGAAGCATTTACAAGATTTTGGCCAAGGTGCTTGCTACAAGGCTAAGGAAAGTGATAAATAACATTATGGCATTATATCAGTTTTCCAAGGTGCTTTTGTCCACAACAAACACATACAGGATGGAGTCCTCATAGCGAATGAGTTCATCTCATTGACTCAAGAAGTGTGGTGATGGGGGGATTACATGATGGCAAGAATGAATTTTGGGCAAAGATGGAGGATTGGATAAAAGTATGTTTTACTACTCCAAGCTTTTCAATTCTTATTAGCAGTCTGACTAGATGTAAATCAGTCCTCAAATATTAGGTGTAAATTTGAAGATTAGAAGAAAAAGGAAGAAGAGAAGTAAGAGCAGTAACACAAGAGAAGAAGATGGCGAAAAGAGAAGGAAGAAGAAGAAGAATCGAATTATCTTCCCTTTCTCCTCTAATCCTTTCTTTTTATTAAGAATTAAAGTTAGAGTAATGACAAGTATGCCCTTAAGTGGGCGGCCAACTAGGCAGTAACATAGAGAGATTAAACAAAAGAAATAACAGGCCCATTAAGAGAGGCCCATTAGCCAACAATAAAAGAAAAGATATTACAAGAGAAGATACTATGACCCATTCGGCCCAGTCTCTTTACATGGCTCAAGGGAATTTTAAAAGTTCAAGAGGATTGAAACAAGGGGACCCACTGTTTCCTCTTCTTTTCTGAATGGTGATGGAAGGTTTAAGTAAGATGACAGCTAGAGCTTCAGAGATGGGTTTCTTGGAAGGCTTTGACGCAAGTAGCAATGGCTCAAAGGTGGAAATCCTTCAGTTTGCAGATGACACTTCTATCTTATGCGACACATTCGAATCAGGTTCTCAGTCTAAGATGCTTATTATGCTGGTTCAAACTTCAAAGTAGTATCAAGTTTGAAAGTAAATCTGGTCAAGAATGAGATGATGGAAGTGGAGGAAGTTTCAAATGTGGTAGAATTGGCTGAGATCTTGGGCTCCAAGGTTAAAAGTACTTACCACTGGGGGAGAGTTTCAAATGTGGTAGAATTGGCAGTGAGGGAAGTTTCAAATGTATTTGGGCTTGCTTACCACTGGGGGAAAAGTGCACTTCTAAAAGTCTATGGAACCCAATTTTAGAAAGGCTAGACAAAATTGGCTCTTGCTTGTGACCCTCCAATAAATGACAAACATGTTAATAATCAAATTAAAACCAAATCACCTTGTGAGTGCATGCCTAGGTGATTTGGTTTCGATTAGTCCACATGGTCACAACACTTTTTTGAGCCCTTCAATAAAACATAAACATTTTGTCAATCAAATTAAAGATGGACTTGTCCAGTGAGTGCATGCTTATTGTTGCTACCCCAAGTGATGCACGAACTATCCACTATCATATGATGAAATGGAGGCTCCCTCTAGGATCCATTACCTTACTAGGAATATAAAAAATACAAAGGTAGGCTAACATGTGGAGCAATGAGTTCGTTCACATAATCATAACACTTTCTTGTGGCCTCTATAAAAAGCTAGATATCCTATAAGTCAAAGGATAAACCAAATCACCTAGTGAATGCATGCTTGGGTGATTTGTTTTTCATAAGTTCATGGTCATAAGAATTGCTTGTGACCATTCAATAAAACACAAATGCTAACTTAATTGCCAAAATATTTTTACATGATGCTCTTGAATACTTTTATATTCATAACATTCTGAGATTATATAAATAAAACAGGCACTATTAAACTAAATTATTCAGTTTGAGTTAAAATACTAGTTTCTTTTTATTTGGTAGGGTTCAATTAAGATGTATATCGTTTTGAATCCTCAAAGGCTTCAAAACCTGAACTAATAAGCATGGAAGAATTCAAAATTTTGTCACAATCTCTATTTTTTTCCTAGGACAAAAATCGAGGCTCAGCCCCTCTGTTTTCTAAGATTTCTTTTTGTTTCTTCCATTTTTTCATGAATACGTTGATTCTCTATGCTTTAAATGAAGTTTATACATTTTCTTTATGAAGACTATAGACATTTAATAGTGAGATACGATTGTTGCTTGCCATGGAACCTAGGGAAGTACCCTAGGCTTCATGGCTTTTATTCAAAAAAAAAAACCCATTGGCTAGGCAACTAGACGAAAGGCACCCCCTATCACCTAGCCTCACCATGGCACCTTGAAAACTATGTGACCTTGTTTTACACAAACATGTTGAAACATGATAGCTGGCCCATTATGAAACCAGTAGTCGATCAAGACTACAATCAGTCTTGAATTCGAAAGCGAAAGAAAGATTTCAGAAGAAAAGAAGAAGAGAGGGAGAAAAGAAGAAGCACACGAAGGGTTTTTAGAAAAGAGAGAGAGGGTCAATCATAATGATCCGCCAACCCACTCTTAATATTTATATATTTTGACTAATTGTAAAAGGGCTTAATTGCCCTTATTGCTTACATGGCAAATAAACTAATAAAAAAGCTGAAATAACAAG